CTATGCTTCTGGTGGAATATTTCCATCTTGACACAACTGTTGTCGTGTCTCTGTCCAACACAGAACAAGATGACAGTTGTCCCAGACTGGAATATTCCACGAGTAACCAGTTCCGTGCCATGTTCAAATGCCACGCCTACTCTGGCTCAGGGATAAGGAGTGTTCCAAATACGACCCCCACCAGGGGCCGAGTACGACCACCCGCTCCCCATGTGTTTCACATAACGATGCTGTACCCTGCTTACATCTACATGTGCCTAGCATTGCAATCATGGGATCCTTTTGTGTCGCTTTGCAAGCTCTTTTGTGTATTTTTTCTGGCACTACCAGTGGTGCGCAGATATCGCAAGCCCATAGACACAATAGTCCAGAAATGCATGACTGTCTGTATTTTTCGTGATTTCGATAGTCTTGGCTATTCTTGGCAAATGCATGTGAATGTGTTCAGAAACCATTTAATGATGGGATTTGCTCTGAGAAATGCATGAGACTCTGGAATCCTTTCAAGAAAAAACCCGTCGTGTCTTTATAGTTGCCATGAATCAAATCCCAGGTGAAATCGCCCGATCGCGTCACCAAAAGTTTCGATTGTTTGTTGCCAGATTTGTCTGGGAGAATGGAAAGCGAGTTACAAATTTTCTCGTATAGGCCATAACGGTTCATAAGTGGCCATTATACTAGAATGGAAATCTCCACCCCGTGCCCAGTAAACTACGCTACCACTAGTGGTAAGTTCTCATACCACGGACTCCCTGCCCAAGTTCTCGATACCCTCTCACCCCTTCTTGGTGCTCACCATTAGCCACAGACAGGTGTCGCAGGGAAAGACTTCACTTCTGCAAAATAGACTGCAATAGAAGTCGGCTTTGTGAGCTTCGGCGCTCCGAAGGAGACTTCTGTTTTCGTTTTTGGGAATTCCAATGACGGGATCCGAAGGCGTGGCCTATCCCAGAAAGGATTTCTACTTTGATAGAATAGTTACTCGTTTACATATGGTAATCAAAGGCAGCGTCCAGACTTCACGACGACAGCGCTTCGATCGCGCAATCGGTGCGATCGATGCGCATGCTTGCGACTGCATTGCTTGCGACTGCTAGGGCGTGGGGTGCCACGCCTTAGCTGCTAATCAATATTAAATTGACTGGTTCTAGCACTCTTGAGCAGCCATTCGTGGCACTCCTACAGTCTAGTTCGCTGCGGACTCTTGAGCGCATCAGGGGGGAGGGGCGGCTGTGTTTGGAGGGGCACCAG